CGGCAACTCGACCAAGTGTCTCAATAGTGGTCGGATGGTCACGTCCAAGGAGTCTTGTTTGTTCCTCCAATTTCTCTCCATCAGTTCCCTGGCTTCTGCAAACCCCGAATTGTCGGGGAACGGCACATCGACGAGGCAAGATCAGGCCTCGACTCCCATCGAGGATTCATTTGGCCCGTTGGAAGAGTTTTGCACGACAGCTCCCCAGAAGCACAGGGCCCACCGGGACTGTTTCTTACGGTATGCGAATTTGGTCCTCTCTCCCTTATTCTTACACGTTTATAGATGGGTAGATTCATACCGACAGCAGCATTTACGCGTATTCCTCGAACCAGTGCGCGTCGAGTATGAAGATCCCTCTCAAAGTGGATCGACGACTGAGAATTGGGCAAGAGAGGAAAAGGCACGAGTCAAAACGATATTACAGTCAGCAGGTTTCGAACATCTAGTGTCATCTCTGACCCGGCCATCACGAACAAACAACGCTCCCGATCAATCACTCCTTACAAGAAGATCCACCCTATCTGGTGCCTCGAGGACATCACAAGCACGTTCATCTGTACTGACAGTCAACTCGATTGCATCGTCTTCTCCCTCAGCTACCTCGTTGGCCACTCTCAAAACTTTATCCCCCTCCTGTCCAGCCTGCCGTGGACCCGTCAATATCATATTCGCAAAGGAGCCAGTTACGCCGAGCAGCAAACAAGGCAATTTGTCGCTTTTATCTCCAGATTTGACCGCAACCCAACGGTATCAACGGCTGAAAAAGTTGTCCAAAACTTTTGCGAGAGGGTGGTGGAGAGAATTTCTAATGACTGTAACCGGGAGGAGCCTTTTACTCAGACTTGTCGCTCAGTATAGTTTCCTGATATTTTTAGTCTCCATGATCAAGGCGTCGGGGCGTGTTCGACAACGAAAGTAACTCATGATTCAGGATTATTGTACTCGATGTTATTGTAATCGACTTTAATTCGCATTGATTGCAATGATAAGTTACACTTAAGAGGCAATGGTGACTTCTACCTCGACACCAGGCTCGAGAGAGATAGAGGTCTTGGTATCACAATTAGTGCGGTATCAAGGCTAGTAGCTGAGGACTTACAATCTGCTTGACAATCTCGCTGGAAGAGTGAAGGTCAATCAGACGCTTGTGGATCTTGAGTTCATAGCGGTCCCAGGTCTTGGAACCTTCACCGCAAGGCTATTGATCAAATGGACATGAGAATATTTTCTCATTTAAGGATTAATACACACAGTTTTACGGGTGGTGATCTTCAAGACCTTGGTAGGAAGCCTGACTGGGCCTTTGACGCGAAGTTCCTTGTCCTTGGCACGGTTAATCAAGTCGGCAGAGACTAGTAGAACAATGGAATATCAGCATTTCGAATATAATGTTTGGTAGGATAAGTATACAAACACTTTTCGAGGTTCTTGACATTGCTGCTGGTCAGCGTGATACGAATCTTGTGAATTTTGGCGGTGATGGGGGCGCCAGAGGCGTCGTAGTCCTTTTCTCCCTTAGCGACGTAGCCACTCATGATTTATTGGGATGGAGTCGCCAGAAGGTGACTAAGGGTCGTTGTGGTCGGCGTGAAATTTAAGGTTGGTCCTACTTGGTAGAAATCCCAAAATAGTTTACAAAACTCATCTACCGTCTATAGCCTTTAGACCATGAATTTTTATTCCATATCACTATCACAGGACTATTACATATCGAAACTGGCGAAAAGAGCAAACTCTCCTTCAGGATTTCCCCCATATACAATACCATGGAGCAGTTTTATCCCCTGTAAAGATGTGAGATACATAGGATCTTGATCGTACTTGATATTTTTGGTGATTTCAATACCCTCGTCTGCAATATCGGCCGCCCCCTTTAAATTACCGACCACTCCAAGACAAGTGCCGAGGTGATGGAAGGTACCGACAACTTGTTTACACTGTTCTCCATACATCTTTTTCTGAAGTATGGCCAATTTCCCGTAAACTTCGATAGCCTTATTCCATTGTTTCCGATTACGGTAAATGGAGCCTAGCACGGCCATCTCATTGAAAAGTTGTTCGTCCTGAGTTCCGTTGACATCCCGTCGAAGGGCGATGAGCTCGCGAAAAAGAGACGCCACTTTGTCGAGCTGATGGTCTTTCTCATGTGGCTCGGCTGATCGTGCTGTCATCCAACGCTGACCGGCAACTCGACCAAGTGTCTCAATAGTGGTCGGATGGTCACGTCCAAGGAGTCTTGTTTGTTCCTCCAATTTCTCTTCATCGGTTACATAATCTTGCTGGTTGAGGAGTGCGGCCGTTCTGGCCATGAGCTCCGCAAAGTCCATTGATGGCTCCAGTGTCTTTTCATGTTCACCGAGGAGGAGTTTTGTGAATTCCTCCCCATCCCCAAATTCGTTATCCAAGAAGTCTTTGAATACAGTCACATAAGGGTCTGCACATTGGGTAAAAGTACGTACCAAATGCGCCGCTCCCAATGGTATCTTCGCTCGTTCTTCCTATGGATATGGCGATCTCTTCCACGGTTCTACTGACTTCAGGCTGGTCGAGGTAAGAGTTGGTACAATCTTTGACGGCGTCCAAGTCCCAGGTCGTCCAGGCAGTGGCTGTATCCTTTTCTATTCCAGATTCCACAGAAATGTAGTGATATTTTGCTTGTCCCAAGTGGCTCTCGGATGTGTCAAGCTCAGTCATACCGGGGCCGCCACTTCCCACATGCAGCAAATAGATAGGCTGAGACGTGGCGTTGAAAGCCAATTGGACCTCTTCTAATAATTCGGCAATAGGGCTAGTAAATGTGGTCGCATTCTCAACAAAGGTTTAGGAGGGTACGTACAGCACCCGAGCTTCCTATTCCCACTGAACGTATTCTTCAGACTCGTCGCGATCATGTTGGGCCCATTTGGCATGTCAATTGACGATGTCATCGACAACATCCAGAACTTGGGTGTGACTGTATTTGAAAGTGTTGATGTGAATGCAAAGACGCCCCTCGTTGATGGCCAAAAGCTGAAAAATGCACTGGAAACTATTCTCAAGAGCAAAGGCGTCTCATCCGATACAATGTTGGCAGATATCCAGCACCCTTCGGGCTGCAAAAGGTCAGTCTGCGTCCTCCAAGGATCAAGTGGGCTCATGGGATTACAGTATCGTTTTTCTCACCAATTCAGGCGATAAACCCGTAATGCGTTCGTATAATATCAACAAACCGTCTTCAAACTCCAATATAATCGATGGGATCGTGACGTCTCTATCGCCGTCTCTCATAACTTCGCCGAACATGAAAAGACACTGGAGCCATCAATGGACTTTGCGGAGCTCATGGCCAGA